CACTGACAAGCATCTGATCTTGTAAAATGTGTGGTAAGCACTGCCGCTGTAGTTTACACAGCATGTGCGATCACAAATCTCGAAAGTGAAAGTAAAATGCGATCGTGCATTCGAAAGCAGTTTCAATGTCCCGCATATTAATAGTGGCTCCCTGATGCCCGAATTTTATATACAGTATAATTACCCAATGATATAACTACGAGAGACAGTATTGAAATATATATTTTCCCCGTGTTTCCTTCCTGCTGTGTGAGCTACTGAAATGAGCCGCACTGTGAAACAGCCAATCAGAGCAGAGCTCAACATTATTATTCATGACCCTTCCAAATAAGGTAAAAACAGACCATTTCATTCTAGGGACAAATCCTAGGGTTGTAAATGGACATGTAAAAACCGTTTCTGGAGAAGTTTTGCCCTTACCTAAGCCACATACCTTCTATGTAGATATCAGAGAACAATTTAAAATATTGTATCAATGCATTCTATGGCACCTTTAATCAGGATAAAACCATATATTAAAAGCTACCAGAAGCAGTAGCATTCACAAATAACAGCTAACAATCCATACATCAATGGAGAGCTTATTTATTCAGCTTTCAGATCATGTATAAATCTCAATTTTGCAAAATTGACACTCAAGACTGGTTTTGTGGTCCAGGGTGAATCTGATTTGTCATGTGGTTATATCTAGATATATCTAGTATTTGCATTACCAATTTGTCTGAACTCATACTAGAGAGCCATTAGAGCAGTTAGAGAGCCATTAATTCACAGTTTGAGTTTTCATGAATCATAAAACCCTTCTTTTCACACTTCAGCTGTGAACTGAAAATTAGCGGTTATATCTGACCTATGAAGACTTTACTAGATGAAAATTGTATAACCACTACTATATATAATTTATATGCAAAATTAACAGGGGCTTGTAATACTTCATAAGTCTTTATATAGCAAGCAGTTGTAGCATACGTGTATAATGAGAAAGCCATTGTTGAAAACCAAAGAATAACCAATTAAAGAGTTATGTGAACGTAAAAAAGCTGAGAATTACTTGGAAAAACCTTTTCCCTCAGCTGTAGGTCTCAAATATTGTTAAAGTTTACTAGACATTTGATTTCTTATCTTGCACTATCCATATTTTATTAAATGTTATTTTTTTATTTATTTATTGTTTTTAAATATTTGTTTATTATTATTATTATTTTATTTTTATTTTACACAAACACACACACACACACACATATATATATATATATATATATAATTTAAAGAGTCCCTATGGGTTATGAAAGGTTCATATTTTGGTTTTGGGAGTCCCCAACAACAGGGTTATAATTTTAAGAATTTTTATATTGTTTTTTTTTAAACATTAATAAATTAAATAAAAGTTCATAAAATATTTTATTGTTTTAATTTATTCTTCTTGTTTTAGTTTATTTACTATATCGTTTCTTGTTTGTTTGTTTGCTTTGTTTTGTCTAGATTTATTTTATTTATTTATTTTTTGTTGAGTCAGATTGGATCGGAAAATCAGTCAAGTCTCTACACAAAACATGAGCTCAACTAGAAAAGAGATTTCTTTTATATACCATTTGCTTTCACTAATTCCCATACACCAATTTGTGTCATTTTAGTCATTGATGACTTCAATATTATCCTAAAATGTGTAAAATAGTACAAATGAAGAATGAGTAGGTAGGTGAGAATTACTTGAAAGACTCTGCATTTGAAAAGAGACGTTTATAATATCTATAAAAGACAAGCGGGTCTTTCACATGAGTAAATGAGATTGCCAGGCAATCCGAAGGCTGTTAAAGTGAACGGTCTACTGGAAAGCACATGGCGGTGGATCAGATGTAGTTTGAGGGCATTGCTGAACCCAGTAGAGGATGTTCAATCACACACTGCTCTGTTAATAGAGGGCACGTTCGGAAGAGAGCTGAAGACGTCACCTCTGTTCCTTAAAGGTCATATAGACTTATAGCAAAATGGGTCTTGGGAGATTTTATAAAAGCGTCTTGAGTGCAGGCTCTATTAACTGTGTCCTTCAGAAGAAGAGGGTGAAGTTCTCTCTTAATCATATTCTTTCTGTCGTTCTTTCTCCCTGCAGCATAAAAGAGACGCTCAGAGCAGCACCAAGCATGTGGAGTTGATCATCGTCGCAGACAACCGCGAGGTAATGAAGAGACGCTCTTGACCTCACACGCATCTCCAACCTTCAGTCATCTAAATCAGTGGCTCTAAACTAGTGGGTCGTGACCCAAAAATGAAACGCAGATCTGCTTTACTTGGGTCAAAGACATCAGCGATGCTCAGAGCAAACGATAGCTAACCATATAATGCTGCTCATCCTCAAAAACCAGAACAAAACTACATAAAGTAAAAGAAAATTAGATCTAGACTATATTAAATATTGATTCACATGCAACAAAGATCAACGTAGTATTTCAGAAGCTTATTTATTGGCTGCCAAGAGCATAGAACCATCAATACGTCTATAACTATCTATCTATCCATCCATCCATCCATCCATATGTTTATACATTTAAAAAATTAAATAAAGTTTTTATAATTATTTTTATATTTTGACATTTAATTTAATTAGTAATTTTATGTGCTTTGTCATTGTTATTAGCGTTTGTTTTTATGAATGTTTCTAAATACTTTTATTTTATTTTAATTTCAGTTTTAGTTTTATTTCAGTTAGTAAGTATAGTACTTTAACTTATTTCAGTTGGTTGCATTTCTAATTTCCATTTAGTATACGTTTGTCATCTGATATCTCTTTTTTTTTTTAATGTCTGCCTTATTTCAATTAACAATTTTTTTCAATTATTATTATTTATTTTTTTTTTTATTTTAAATAATTGTAATAGTGCTTAAATAACTGTATGGCCCTGGACCAGCTGAGTTTCACCAAATTAAATCATTGTAACTCCATTCATTGGCGTGAGACTTCCATAGCTGCGTCAGTGCAAGGTCATGACCCCTTGACCCTGAGTTTAAGAAAGACAAGAGGTCAAAGGTCAAAGCAGATTAGAGGGTCATTGTTTGTTTGGACAGGAAATGAAGACGGCCAGCTGTGATCACTTGACCTCTTTACTGACTGTTTGTAATGTGAATTAAGAAACACATTGTTTACAGTATAATTCTTTCTACCTTTCAAATATCCCGTCCTGTGGTGCTTTATGGACAAGAACAAAACTTTGTTAAAGAAAGAGTTAGAAATAGTGCATTTCTTCTTGACTTGCTAATTTTACTGCAATCAAGCTTCCATCCTGATTTTTGTCTCTCCTGCAACAATCACAGCAATCATGGGTGACACATTTCCAGTCTGTGCTTTTATTTTGTAAAACTGACAGTCTGAACTTCAAACACTGCTGGTCGTGTTTGGCTCAAAATCTGTGTGCCGCTGCCCGTGGAAAATGAATTACCTCATGTGACATTTACCACAGCAGGCCAGTGAACGGCACATTTGGCTGCAGTTTAAAGACTTTTTTTTGTCCTTCGTTGCATTTCAGTATCAGAAACAGGGGAAAGACGTGGAGAAAGTGAAACAGAGACTTGCTGAAATAGCAAACTACGTGGACAAGGTAAACTTGGAAAGCATGTCAACATGCTTAATGAATGAATGAATAATTAATACTTGCAGAAAACACATAATTTGGAAGGAAAATTCTTACGTTAACTTGAAATGTTCTTATTTAGTCATTCTTATCTGCATTTTAGCATTCAAAAAACAAGCAAGAAAATTATACGTAGTAGGTACATATTTGTGCAACAACATTCATGTATATATTCAGTATAAAATAAAATAAGTGCAATAGATATATACAGGGGCACATTAATGCACGGGCTTCAAGGGGCTGAAGCCCAGGGGCCTACACTGGAAAGGGGGCCCACTGGCTGCAGGGAAATTATATTTTTTGAATAATTATTTATAATAATTATCTGTATAATGCCCGTAATAACGCAGTCTTTACTTTATGTAACGGCTATATAATTCTGCTGTTCCACAAGCGCCACCTTGTGGCAAAGAGTGAATTTGCATATTCTCTTATATTCACATTTTACGCAGAACAGTGTTGTGAATGTTAACTGGCATATTAACAAGACAAAAAACGAAATTTGACAAATAATTGTTAGGAAG